GGGACTACATATTGGTTATGAACAAAATTATAACAACGTTGTTCTTTTGGCTTCTTAAGTACTTAAAAATACCTTTCTGAGAAATGGGCAAATGGAGAATATTTCTATATTCTAAGTAATTAAAAGAGAACCATTCCATCAAATATAATTCTGCAGATGAACTACTAAATAGTCAGGAAGGCACATGAAATTTTAGAAGCAGTATTTGCTGATATCTAACGCTACTTATAAGCAGCATTAATTTGTTCCTTTTGTAATCTCACCTACCAAATCCAGAAAATAAAACATGAATGAGAAAAAAAATGGAAATTCATATATAGAGAGATTGATTAGTCTCATAACGAAAGATATCTTTCAATTTCAAATTCCCCTTCTATTTCCCTTCACAGTTTTAAATGTAAAATGTGACTTAATTTGGTTCACAGAAATGTTCAAGGATAGAGTCACAGCACGTAGCAAGTTACGGCTCTACTTAAACAGGACACATGCACTCCTTTTCCTGGGCAAGCGGCCCAGATTCTGGAACAGGGATGACCCAGCCACTCACCAGGACTACATTCACAGCTGAGGCTACTCCCCACCAGGCTGCTTTTTCATATATCAAACCCTTCCTTCTCAGCCTATTGTCCCAGGCAGTCACTATCAGTCAGTTGGGCTGGCAACCAAAATAAAACCTGATCATCATCATTATCCTAAAAGTCCCCATCAAGCATTTTCCGAATCAATCTGGACTGCTAACAGCAGAATATTATCCTTAATCAAGAAATTCATAACACCATGAAAAAAGCAGCAGATAAGACGGACAACTATCATAAACAAGGGTAGAAGTCTAAGGCTCAGCATTAAACCACAGCTGGAAGCCCAGCTCTTCCACTTAGTGCTTGTGTGGCCCTAGGCTAGTTACATAACCTCTTTGAGATTCAACACACTCCTCTCAGAAAGATGTTGTGAGTATATGCTAGACACTTAAATTACAGCCTCTGCTATTATCTGGCATAAAATCACATAATTTATTTCTAAAAGGGGACTTAGGATCATTCTACAAAGAAAATGGGAAGTAATGAAGTGCCTTCTGTGTACCAGAAGCTTTCATTTATTGATTCCTCATAGCAGCCTTCTTAGCCCCACTTGTAGATTGGAAATTAAGGTTCAGAAAAATGAAATGATTCTTCAGGGTCCCAAAGAACAGGCAACTATTCAACAGGAGTCTTTCTGCACCCAAAACAACACTTTTTTCCTGCATCAAATGATTGCATGCACAGGTGAGCTCAGTCCTAAAGAAAAGCTCCAATCTCTGTACTCTACAACAAGAAATTTCAGAGTAACCAACAGCAAACGCGACGCCAACAATGAGTCCTTGAATAACTGCAGAGTCACTCTGAGCTTTAAACCAAGACGCTGACCCTAGTCAACATGTAAGAAACAATACCAGGAATCCTCCTGTCCATTTCTTTCTGAAAATGTTCCCTATGCGCATGCATACTGCAGCAGCAGTGACAAAGGGGACAACCATAAAAGAATATTCTCTTACAATGACAAGGACCAAGAAAAATCACCTGAGAGGTGAGATAATTAACCATGGTCTTAAGACTCATGCTCTCTCACCTTTCAAAAAGCCCAGCTTAACAAAATCCAAAGATAAATTATTTATCAATAATGAAATATGGAAAATACAGAAAACTCCATTTGATTCACAATTGCCTCACGGACATGAGTACACTCATAGAAGCCTGATTAAGTGGTAAGACACCTCCAACTTGTGTACCACAGTTAAGAATGGCAAGAAACTTCTGCTTGCATCTGAGTGTGAACAATCCTGTGGACACATATATTAACTGTGGTCACCCACCAGAGCACAGGTTCTTGAATGGCACTATGCAAAGTTAGTTCGCTATCCTGTCTAGAGACTTGAAGAATTAGGAGGCTACTGAATGCAAAGAATAATTTAATTAAAGACATTAGATTTAGTTACACTAGTTAAATTAGAAAAAAGTAAAGGAGATAATTTAGGTTAGGTTAGGATGCAGTTTAGGTTGGAAAAAATGGGAAACCTGAATCAACAATAAAATGCTTCCATTAAATAAGTAATCAAAAACTAAAACACATATAGTAATATTCTGTACAGTACTATGTACAAGTGAATCCTTGCCAAATGCTAAGCTCCTATCAGCCAAGGCCTGCTCAGCCCTAGGCTCATTTGGATTTTCGCAGGCAGAACACATCCCTGAGCACTAAGATCACAGCCCCAGACGCAGAGAATGCCTCAGCACCAGTCAGAAACAGAAACAGAAGCCAAAATAAATGTTTCCTTTTTGCATTATCTGAAACAAGCACAATTTGCAATTAATTATCCCGTCAGGTATACGTTCTCTTAAAAATAGTCCTCACCCACAAAAAAAAAAAAAAAAAAAAAAACAAGGCTAACAGGCAAATACTATTCGTTCTGGTTCAGAGAATTAAGACAAGAGATCTTCCCTGCTAGGTCAAAAGTGTCCACGTGCTATTGGAGGATCCTGTCTGAGTAAACACTAAGATTAACATGATTTTGGAATTAGGTGTGACATAAAAATAAATATTTTCCATTGGAGAAAAAGAGTAAAAATTCACGTAGATAAAACTCTTGTAAAGGAAAGCTATTTAAGAGTGTAAAAGCTGCTCTTTGATGGTAGAAATCGGACCCGTCACTTCCCACCCTGCCAGTGCAGAGCACGTGCAGCCCTCTACATCCGCCACAGTAACAAGCAGCACCAGTTCTGGCTGCTACAGGAAAAGGCCTAATTCCCAACAATGGCCGATGTCCCATCTTAAGTTTATAATGCAAGTAAAAGAATCAGACACTGATTAACACGGTACACTTAAAAACAAGGTCAAAAGCAAAAGGGCCACTGAAGAAAAACTAATGAGTGCTTGAGTTCTAACCTAAAGGTAACAAATTCATATAATATGAAAACAATTTGATAGAATGCAATTCTTCTCGACATTTCTAATTACAATGACTAGAGAAAATAGATCCAGAGAAAACAGAACTATGCATCCTACTGGATATTCTATATATGGAACTTCTAATTACAGTATTTCATAGAAATTTTCTATAGCACATGAAAAAGTCATGGTTTTGTTCTACAAACCTAGAAATAAAAGCACTAAATCTCAGCTAATTAACCAACTAACAAAATCAGTTATTCTTAATCAAGCACAAGCAAGGAGACAAAGTAACACGTGCTCCTTCACATGCTCACATGTCCTACCATCCTGAAATAGACTAAAAGAGAGAGGATATTTTTATTTTTTTACTGTATATATGTTTTGTATCATTGGGGTGGGGGGGACGGAATCTTGCTCTGTCACCAGGCTGGAGTGCAGTGGCGCAATCTCGGCTCACTGAAACCTCTGCCTCCTGGTTTCAAGTGATTCTCCTGCCTCAGCCTCCCGAGTAGCTGGGACTATTGGCATGTGCCACCACACCCAGCTCATTTTTGTATTTTTTGTAGAGACAGGGTTTCACCACGTTGGCCAGGCTGACCTCAATCTCCTGATCTCATGATTCATCCGTCTCAGCCTCCCAGAGTGCTGGGATTACAGGCGTAAGCCACCCTGCCTGGCCTACTTTTATATCTTTTAAAGCAATCATTGCTAGCTCATTTACTCTAGAAGCCTATGTTTACAACCTTCCTACTTTCTTCCTCAATTCATAATACGAATTGCATACAATGAGTAGCACTGTTACAGCGCACAGCAATTACAGAGACCACAGCATCTGTTATAGAACTCATTTTCGTGAAAACAAGATGAGAACTACTTACCATAACTAAGTAAAGCTAGATGGCAGGATAAAGAAGCAAGTGTTCTAGAGACCACTTCTTGTGGAAGAATCTTCTGCAATGGAAATCTATCTGCAGTGACTGGTTTCATTTTAGAACACTGAACTTATCCAAACTGCAGTGGAAAACTGCACTGTCTGTGTCTGACTGAAAAGCGATCTGATACGGCACTGGTGAAAAGGAACAGAAAGAAATGAGGCAGGCTCCACTTCTGAAGGCATGTGGTGAAAGCACACGTGACTGCAACTCTGAATTCTACGATGGCTTTTTTTTAAAAAATGGGGCAAACTGAAAACGGAACACAGGTTGTAGTTCAGCAGTCTGGACAAAGCTGATTAGAAGTAGACATACACACCTGCACTGTCCACCATCTGACTGCCCACAGCTGCTCACTGAATCTGAAGCTATACATAACAAATCATTTGTGTAAAGGAAAGTTTCTTTCTTTTTCTTTCTCTTTTTTTTAAAGACGGGGTTTCACCATGTTAGTCAGGCTGGTCTTGAACTCCCGACCTCAGGTGATCCGCCTGCCTTGGCCTCCAAGGTGCTTGGATTACAGGCGTGAGCCACCATGCCAGGCCAGGAAAATTTATTTCTAAAACAAATGTAATGATTTTATCACAGGTTATCTGCAGTAAGAAGCTAAAACCGATAATACCGAATTTAGGGATTGTCACACTGGCCTTTCATTACGACGCAAAGAGAAAACCAAAAGATGCTACGTGACAACATTCCACTCAGACGGACGACACCTGCAAAGGTGGTCCCAATGACACCGCATTTTTACTCTACCTTCCCTATGTTAGATACACTTCTATACACAACATTCCCATTGTGTGACGACGGCCTACAGTATTCAGTGGAGTCATGCTGCACAGGCTGGGGGGGGGGGGCGCAGCAGGCTGTACCCCCTGTGTAAGTACATACATTCTAGGACGTTCAGACAATGACTAAATCACCTAACAACACATTTCTCAGAACCTATGCCTGTCATCAAGCGATGCATGACTGTAGTATTTAAATGACAATTCTTATACCAACTTCAAGTGGGTAGAGGTTGGTTATAAGACTCTAAGAGAGGTAACTTTTCATTCATTCTTCAAAAATACTCTCTGGAAATAAGGACATTCTATGTGAAACACAGACTCAAAGAGGCTCTCATAAAACTAGTCGACTTACCCCACCTGACAGCTTAATCACCCTGACTTTGGAGGTGATGTGGGAGCCATCTCCACCACCACTGTTTGTCCTGTGCGTGACAGTCCTTTTCACGCCAGGCTTTGTGTCCTGGGGCCGGCCCTGGATGGACGCCACTCGAGGAGTCTGGGGCGCGGCCGGCTCCTCCACATCCGCGGGTTTGATCTGGAGTACTTTATGCAGTGGCTGAGTCTGACTTTGAGGAAGCGTTCTGGTCTGTCTCAAATGTTTCAGTGGTTTCATCTGTTGTCCTTGATACTGCATGCTCGCACCAGATGGTACAAAATTTGATGTTTTGGGCTGAACATTTGAAATACTGACTTCCTGGTTTTTAACAAGAAGCCTGTTTTTCACATTTTGTCTGACCTGTGCACCCGGAAAGGGCAACAGGGGGTTCCCATTGGTGGGTGACGGTGACGGTGCCTGCTCTTCCTGCTCTGCTGGGGGTGGGGGAGCATAGAGCTGCTGCTGCTGCTGCTGCTGCTGCGCGAGTCTCTCCAGTAACTCCTTCTTCCTGGCACCAGCCTGCTGCTGCCGTCGTAACTCCTTCTGTTTCAGGATTTCTTCTCTTAGGCGTTTCTGTTCTTCTATCTTTAAGCGATATAACCTTGTTTCCTCATCTTCATCAGGAAACTAAAATGGAAAACACACACAGTTTACTTTGCTATACAGGCAAAGTGTCCATTCCACTCTATTACAACAAACTAAGAGAATGCATTTTCCGAAAGTCCTTTAATTCAGTGTCTGAAAGAAGTCATTCAAAATCTGCTTAAAGACTTTAAGTACAACTCCTTCCTCTGGGGAGGGGAAAAAAATCACACAGCTAAAGCTAATTTGGAAAATCTTATCAGCATATTAAAAATGAAATCATGTAAATTTTTACTCATTTACAAGTTTGAAACCAATTAAACTATTCATTTAAGATATCAAAATATGTCTCAAACAGGAATGGCAGCAGAGGGGAGGCCTGCTGTCACACAGGTTTTATCTGGCTCTTCCCTGACAAACCAACAAAAGGTGGGGTATAAATGACCTGAAAGGCCCTGATTACAACTATTGATTTTTCGTACAGAATTTTCAGCCCGATCTCAAACTCATTTGTCACAGAATAATTGGTTATAATGAACAGCACAAGTCAATCTCTCTGACCTTGAACTCATGCACTCTCCTCAGAATCGAAATGTTGCCGACTACAGTATTGGAATATTAATGGTATATACGGAACGCCTTTAATATTCCAAGCTCCAAACCATTCTGCAAGTAGCTACAAAAAAATCTTTGAAAAAGTCCAGTAACTTTCATAAAAAGCATCCAATAAGGAAAATGTATAAAAAGTTAAGCATCTTTAAAGAATTATAATATTCTTTAAAAATCATCCATATCCACAGACTCTGTATAAAAGAATGTTAACAGGATTTAATCTATCTAGAATTAAGCTTTTTCACGATCTTACTTTCCCTGAATAAACCTTAAGAATTAGGACCTTAAGACAAAAGTGCAGCTGAGGAGTCGGCTGGTGCCCTGGAGCTGGAGTGCTTGGTGCCAGCCCTCACTTGGGGGTTATTTGTCGACCTGGGAGCAATTCTGAACAACTCAGTTCTCTTAATTTCACATCTAGGGCAGATTTCAAACTGCAAAAATGAAGGTGGGTGAGAGGCCATTTGTACAGGCAGGCATACAGAGCAAGAAGTGAAATCAGGGGGAGACAGAAAAACTATTAGCAGTGGGCAGAAGGGACATGGGCACTGGGGGAGCAGATGGCTGGGGACATATTAACAGGACCCAAAGGGCCACTGCTTCAAAACACGGGAATAATGACTAGTCATTGGAATTTCTTCCCATGCAGTCAAGAAAGAGTTAAGGCATGTCCAGAACAGCAACTGAAATAATTGGAAAGACTTCGGACTAAGCAGATTCACCCTTTATCATATCATTATCAAGGGAGTGAATGTAAGAAAATAAGTCACATTTAGCTAAGCAAACAAATAGATGACTTTTCTTTTAAAAAAGTAACATACATATATATATATATCTTTTAAAAGTAAAAAAATATATATAATCCTGGTCCCCTTTAAATATACATACATAAAATTAAAAGAAAATAAGTCAAGACATTCCATTTCTACTACAGTGACCTACAGGTTCCATTTCACTCAAGGCATCTTTTTGAAATAACTCTATAGAAGAATCTTTCAGAAGCTCACCTAAATCAACTATCATGGAAGAAACTGATTGCCAGACGTGCCAGCACGATGCCCGAAACGGTACCTCCCCATTAGGTAGGCCTTTTTCTTATTATCACAGTTTCTTATCATATAAGAAATGAGTATATGACTTCATTTTTCAGAACCAAATCAGTTACACATACTGAGTTAGAAGCTGGCTATATACACTAGAAGCATGATAAATTTTTTACCAAAGGCTTCTTTATAAACTATTCCGATCCAGTTTGTCAATCTACACTTTTTTACATGCTGATTTTAAAAGCAAAAGTCACTCGTGTTCTAATAAGAGTTCATCGTATGTTAACATTTCAACTTTGTACTTCCAATTTGGTAAACAATACAACTGCTACAATAATGTATCAGAAGAAAATCTGACTGAAAAAAAAATTGATTGAAAGGCAAAACCAGTGTTAACTGGTTTTTATGAAACCAAGAAAGCATGACTTACCTAAATTCTTACCTAAAGTAACTCTTCATGACATTGGTCTTGCAAAAGTTACCCCGCTGCACTACTTCAGTGCGCTCCACACGCATCTCACTGAGGTTGACACTACCTCCATGCCAGCCTCCTGCACATGCCACCTTGGCCTACCCTCCTGGACCAGATGAGGAAACTCAGGCTTGTGGAAGAAGACAGCCTCAACTAAAGCCGTGTAAAACAGTGACCTGCATTTGTTATCTATACTTACTACATTCTATGCCTACTTAAAAATCAGCAACAATGTCAACAACATATGTAATTATAATTCAAAACAAAGCAAACCCCCAGAAATCTTAAAGACCAACAAAAAACTGGTCCTATCTTCTACAAGTTAATGGTGTAAAATAAGAAACAGTCACAGAAAGCTAATGGTATTCACCAGGTACAGCAAGATTTTGTAATAACTTACTAAGTAAGAGCAAACTAAGACATACAAGTTGATTATAAGGCTTCTTGTCTGAGGCCAACGTTTGTTAATAAGGGAAGTGTCCTACCTCTGGTTCTGTTTTTGCCTCTTCTTTAGGTTGAGCCACAGGGCTAGCTGGCTTGACTTTCACTTCTGTCTTTCCCTGTGAGCTCCTGGAAGCCAACACGGCCCTCGAGGGTGGTGATGAGCTGACGATAGGTTTCACTTGCACTGAGGGTGTGGCAGAGCAGCGACTGCTGGTCATTTCTATCACATGTGACGGCGCTATGGGTAATTCACGCAGATTGCTGTTTCTTGGTGCAGTGGGCTGCATTTGCTGCATTGGCCGCTTGCTTACATTCTGAGAAGTTGTATTCTTTCCACAAAAAGAAAGAAATTCTAATTATAAGTGGAAACCCGGCAGAAGGAACATTAAAAGGCACATTATTAAATACAACAAATTATTCTAATTAGCAAATGACTTCTCTTTTGGGGAACTGATACTTTTCGCCTTGGTTAATACTTTTTTTCCTCAGGCATAAACGTTACCTGATCCATAGGGCAGCATGCCCTCACCGTAATGTTAACGACTCCCATCAGTAAAGGTGTCGTCCTTGCCTACAGACTCACTCCTCTTTATAGAAATTACCAGGCTAATCTTTAGCAGGTGCTTCAGTAAAGGGACTGACAGTTTCAAAAGAATTGAGACAGCCAAAAAAAGCACTCTGTATGCTAGCAGGGCTCAACAAGATTCATATGCTACTATTTTACTTGGTCACTTAAATTGAAGGTGGAACCAGAAAAGAATCATCAGGTCAATGTCTAAGAAACATTGACCCCTGGGAGAAGAAAGGTCCCAGAATGGTTTACTTGAGAGGAAATGCTTAGTCATTTCATCCTGGGGTTTCTTAAGAGAAAACCCACACCTGGAGGAGGCAAAGAGAACGCGAGAGCTGGGAAGGGGGATGAGACCTCTGAGGTCGCGCGGGTCAAATATCCCAGTGCACAAGGGTCATGAGAACAGTCTACCATGATTGGAACAAATGAAGCCAAGGTTATAAAGCATGCTCTTCTCGGATCTAGGAATCCTTTCTTACTGCTTTAGTTGTGATATTACTTTAAGACAGAAAGAGGCAAATATCAGGAAAACTGAAGTTCAAAGCAGCTGTGACATGCTTGAAGCTCAAGCATGAAAAGGAGACAATACTGAAAGAAAGCTCACAGATGAGAACCCTGACCACTAGCCACATTGTGTCTCTTTCCTAAAAAGCTAAATTACCAACCCTCTCACGTGTATTTAACAGAAGCGAGAACCCTAACCACAGTGTCTCTTTCCTAAAAAAACCAAATTATAAAAGCCTCTTAAGTATGTTTAATGGAGGACAGCACAATGACTGTGGCCCTTTATTTTCAGAGCAATACATTGTTTTCCAGTTTCTTTCAATGCACGACCAGTCACACATTTGCCGATAGTATTTGAGAACACAACCCCACCCATAAATGTATGCTAATCTCCTCCAACTGAACACGAGCCCCTTGAAGGAAGGGAATTTGTCTTTTTGGCTCACCGCTGTCTTCTCAGGATTGTAGTAGTAACTGGCAACAGAATGTTAGCGTATTTTCCTGAATTCATTTACGTATTCATTCAGAGACCAAAAAGAGATCATCTATACATCAAAAAATAAGCCACTAGTAAAGGGAAAGTGACCACCACCCAAAAGTATTTTCTGAAGTTACGTGTCTATTAATTCATATCTATCTCTATAGAAATACCTAGATACGGCCAGGTGCAGTGGCTTACACTTGAAATCCCAGCACTTTGGGAGGCTGAGGCGGGCGGATAACCTGAGGTCAGGAGCTTGAGATCAGCCTGACCAACATGGAGAAACCCCATTCCTACTAAAAATACAAAATTAGCCAAGTGTGGTGACACGGGCCTGTAGTCCCAGCTACTTGGAAGGCTGAGGCAGGAGAATCACTTGAGTCCGGGAAGTGGAGGTTGCGGTGAGCCGAGATCATCCCACTGAACTCCAGCCTGGGCAACAAGAGCAAAACTCCATCTCAGAAAAAAAGAAAAGAGATACCTAGATATATGAAAGATGCTTAAGTAAATATTAACACAGTCTTTAAGACCCAAAAGGAGTATGTTATCAATTCTTGCAGTCAAGAAAACAATCACTGGAGTGTTTTCTAAAACATGGATTCACTTCAGAAATCTGTACTGTTTTATAAATTGAAATCAGAATTGGAAAATATTCTAACCTACAAATTATGCCCCTCAAGTCCTGTAAGTTAAAAGGCCTCTGGGGAAGACACCCCTTGACACTTACATGCCGCAACCCCTGGCGCTGGGGACACTGCATCCGGCTGCTGCTGGCCTGAGGCTGAGCGGTCTGTACGTGAGGCCGGAACTGCGGCTGAGACATAGGCATCAAAGGAGGGGGCGGGACGGACAGGTGGTGGTGGTGGTGGTGCTGGTGCTGCGGCGGGTGCTGCGGCGGGTGCTGGGGCGGGGGCTGGTGCTGGGGCGGGGGCTGGTGCGGAGGCTGGTGCTGCGGCGGGGGCTGTTGCTGAGGCTGCTGAGGCTGAGGCTGATGTGGAGGGGGCAATGGGGGATGCAACGGCCCCTTCCATTTCCAAAGAAAGAGAAACAATAGTTCATAAGTGGTTACACCGGGCAGATACACTTCAATTTTCCTTAAAAACCCCAACACAAGAAAGGAACTTTCCGTGGTTCCAAAACTTTTAGACTTGCCGATGAAGGTAATACTATTTTAAATGCAGTCATATGCCAGAAGCTATTATCTGAAATTTTATATTTAATGTAGTAATTCTAGAATTAGGTTGTCCTAAGGAAATAACTAAGTATGCAGACAGACTCCTAACTCTGAAGCATATTCCCTGCAGCACTGTGCTGCTAAAGTACTGAAGGCAACACACACATGCCACAACACGGACGGCGTGAAGGTGACCGTGTGCAGCACCCATTATTCTTAAACGGTGCAGTAAAAACCAATCCACCGACATGAAAAGATCAAATGATATGTACACTGGAGGGAAAAAAGCAGGTGCTGACAAGATGTGCATTTTAAAAAAAGACCAAAAAAAATGCTTCTGAATTTTTCTAGGTAACGAGATTATTCAATTTCCTTTATTATACCTGTCTATATTCTAAGATTTCTGCAATGGGGATGTATTGGTTGTATTTTTCTAATAAAAAGAAAAATTCTTATAAACATTTTCTCTTTAACACCCTAGATAATATTCATTTTCCTTTTCTAGCTGAGATACGTATTCCATGTGTTTTTAAATAGTTGATTCATGTAGACCATTGCTATGTATTTTAACAGTAACCCTACAATACGAGAAGAAATACACCGGGTAAGAAAGATGTTACGGACACATGCCAACCCATGAAGCACACATCTATCGGCAGAGGGCACTCAAGTCCTTCAAATAATCAGTAAACAGCAACATCTTTTTCCCTCCATGCCAAGACTCTTCAAAAACCCTTTAAAAAATCCTAATAGGAGCATTTTTCAATTCCCAAAAATGAGACTTTCCCATTTTTTTCTTGTATTAAGGGGATACGCAATATTGTCAAAAAAAAAAAGCTGTCTTTAAGAAACAGTGCATTTAAGACTAATACTCTTGTTCTTTAAATAACCACAAATTAGTAGGCTCAGATAAAAATGTGAAACTTTCTGAAACACAAAGACTCAAAGCTGCACACAGTGTCCCTGGAGGCTGGCTCAGGAAGCGTACCTGCAGGTTGGGCTGTGCGTGTGTGGGCAGGAACGGCTGTCCTGGGCCCGGCAGGAACGGCTGTCTAGGAGGGATGAAGGGCCGTGTGGTTGCCGACCCAGGCTGGCTGAAGTGCAGAATCCCCACCGGACCTGGAGGCTGCAGGGCTGGTCTTACCGGCCGCTCTCTCGGGAACACTGGCTGCTGTCCTTGCTGGTTAAATGCTGGTCCTGGCTGAGTGAATGGTAGAGGACTCTGAGTAGGAACGGGATGGCTACTGTTGAGAAGGGTAGGAGGCGGTGGTGGTGGAGGGGGACTTCGCTGTTCCAGAAAAAGATGACTTGGGAATCTTGGCTCGCCTGAAACTGAAAGGTAACACAACATCATTATCTTCAGGCTAACAAGACCAGGTCCTTCTGAGAAAAGCAGTCTGAAGCACTATCCTACTGTGGACAAAAATCCCAAGTGTTTGTCAGGTTATGAATGTTTAGAAACAATTTCAGATTTTGCCTCTTATTTCTAGATTGCTTCATTTGTCATTCTGTATACATAAATTCCTCCTTTATATAAGATATTCCCATTTCGGATACCAACAGTGTCCAATTTTAGCATCTGAAATGATAGGCAGACTTGCTATGGTACAAAAACCTGACTTTCCTAATAACGTCTCCAACTGGGAGTTAAATTCAGGTTATAACATCAATGCATTTGGACACATCACCCAGTGCAGCTTCTGATACGTTGCTCCACACCACTGACTCTTTCTGTACCTCCTAAGAAGAAAGGGTCTCGCTCCTGAGGCGGGGGTGGGGCTCTCCACTGGTCCTGGAGAGGGAGTCGTGGGGGCTGGCTGAAACTGTTGGAAACGGGTCCAGGTGTGTGCTGTGGAAATTCTGGAGGGCCCTAAAGAACAACAACAAAAAATAAAATAAAAAGAAACAGGGTGAAAGACAGAAAAACGTTATGTAATTTTAAGAAACATAGACCTGGTTCCAAATTTTCCTCTGAAAATGTCAATAACGTGTCTCTTACAGTCATTGTCGTTCCCTTCACACACACACGCACACACAGAGTCATGCATCTTAATGACACGGATACATTCTGACATGCATCTTAGGTAATTCCATCGTGCTAACACCATAGAGTGTATTGAAATCACACACACACACCTAGAAGGTAGAGCTTTCTACACACCTAGCCTGTATAGCACACACCAGTAGCTCCGAGGCTACACACCAGGGCAGCAAGTTACTGTACTGAATACTGTAGGCAACTGTCACACAATGTAAACATATCCAACCCTAGAAAAGGTTACAGCAAAATACAGTATCACAATCTCATGGAAACACTGCTGTATAATACGCAGTCCACCATACCAAAACATCCTTAAACAGCACATGCCTGCACATATTAACATGGAAACTGTCATACAATAGGCCATATTAAATGATCAAAAATCAAAATGCAGCAACTGGAAATTATGTCAATGTTTTAATGTCATTATAACCTAAGAATATTATTTTTAAGCTTATTGAAATCCATGCAATTACTGGCCTCTTTCCTATTAATCCAAAACACTAAATGTCATGACATTTATCTTTTCAAAGATGCTAATCTTTTGCTAACTATTTAACAGAACCATAAGCTACAGTTCTAAAGGTACTTCACTTTAAAAAGGAAAAAATTTTCAATCAGCAATTACTGACTTAACAGAAAAATGTGAAATGTTTAAGAAACCAAATTACTACAAACAAAATAATGAAGTGTCCTTTGGCTAAAAATTTTAAGCAAATTCTTACAGATTAGCATTTTTCAAAACCACGTTACTACAACTCTTTAGAGACAGTTTAAAATTCCTTCATTTTTCAGTTGGCCTTTCAAGCATTCATGGAGATTTTTTAAAACCACTATATTGATCTAAGCAGCAGCATAAAGGTAAAGAAATGCTCACCACTTTTTCACTGCTCCAAAAAGAAGTAATTATTAACCATCATCAAAATAATTTTCATTTAATACCACCCTGTTCTTTGAAACCAAGTCAGTATTTCTCAACTTGTAAGTATCACTCTTCTTTCTCACAAACTTACAGTCCCAGTGTCTTGGTCTATCATGTTATTACTAATTGGCTGTTCCCTCTAAACACTGAAAATGCTCTTCCAAACTGCATTTCCCTGCCTTCTCCCTGTAAAAGTCTGTTCTATCCATGGCATTGAGAGAACAGACAAAATGAACACAAGTATATATACCAGAAACACTTATGATTGTTGACTACAAAATGATAAAGAAATGTTTAACACACAAATATTACATCTTAATGAAAACATAAACATTAGGTACTTATTGAAACATGCAGAACAGAAAGTACAAAGCTGAAATTCTTGTAGCTTTTGTTTATTACTTTAGGTGAAACAAGGAAATCCACACCATGCTATTGTCTGACATTAGGGAGCATCACTTCTCTAGATAAAGACATCAATTACGACACAATGAAACTAATAAATGTCAGTAACTAAGGAATATAAGTGAGAATACATATTATAGACACAGTCTTTTACTCCTAATGTGTATACTTTATCATAATGGTAATTTGAAAATTCACTGATATGATGCTTTCATATGGATTTTTTTTTTTTTTTTTTTTTTTTGAGAGAGAGAGAGAGAGAGACACAGAGACAGACAGACAGACAGACAGACAGGGTCTCACTCTGTTGCCCAGGTTGGAGTGCAGTGGCACAATCACAGCTTCTTGTAGATCAAAATTCCTGGGCTCAAGGGATCCTTCCACCTCAGCCTCCTGAAGAGCTAGGACTTACAGCACATGCCACCACATCCAGCTAATTTTTTGTAGAGACAGGGTCTTGCTGTATTGCCCAGGTTGGTCTCGAACACCGGGGCTCAAATAATTCTTCCACCTCAGTCCCCTAAAGTACTTGGATTACAGGCATGAGCCACCACACATGGCCAATATTCTTGAATATTTAATATCTTTACTTTGCTAATAATATGATTTTAAAAATTACTTATAACAGCACAGGCCACTACAGATTGTTACTTACTAAATCTGCATGAGGAGTTTCAATGAGCTTGCCTGCTTCCTCCCACTGCCAAAGTTTTCTGTTTTAAAGATATTTTCATTTTCTGTTTGAAGTCAATGAAATACATGGTGTGAACACGAATGTGTCTCCTCCAAAATATTATATTCCTCTAAGTAACTTAAATGTTCTATTTATAAAGTATGGCATTAGTATTCTGTCTTTAGTTTGCATATCAACATTATTCTGACATACACAGACAGTTCCTGACTTATAATGGTGCAACTTACAGCGGCCTCATCCTAATGTAACCCCATCGTAAGTTGCAGAGTAGCTGTGTAATAAGCATTTCAAAACATGTTTTAAAATAATCTTCAAAACTTTCTGAATGACAATAAATTAGCAATCACGGTTCTGCGTTATTTCAAAAAGAAACGTTTAAATGATGCTTCTTGGAATGACACGGAATAAAACAAACAACTGTCTGCCTCTGCTTACAGAGAGCTTTGACTGATCACATCATTTCCAACCCATGTAAATTGGCAATGGTGGTCCTGAATAAAAATCCTTTCCCAATTAATCAGCCTGTTTCCTGAAGCTGTTTCAAAGCACACTTGACTACACTTCTTTTGGGGGAGGAGGCACACGGGAGGGGTTTCAAACAGATAAATACAAAAGGAACCAGTAAGATTCATTAAAACAATTTGCATTGAGAAATGTAGAACATGGATCAACATGATGTCAGTAAGACACCAAAAAGAGACAATAGCACAGCCTGAAACAAGCTAACAGCTGTGAAGGATAAAAATCACTCAAATGTAAACTCTTCAAATGAAAAATGAGTATTTTATGACATTTTAGCTTATAAATAAGAAATTAATAACACCTCTGGAAACTATGAAAAACCATTTTCAACTCTTCAGTGTGGTTATAAATGATAGCTCTCTTCACATAATTGAGTCAAGGTCAGCTACAAGTAGGTTTGATGTTGGTTTGCCCAACCATCTAGATAAGGGTTTGGATGGGGCTGACTTCAATGCAACAGAGGGAGGACGCTTTTAACACTCACCCAGCAATAAACACATCCTCAACCCACAGAAGCACTCACTCAGGAGGAGGAGCAGCACCTGCCGGCCAGGAGCTCAAAGTAACCTGGACTGAAGAATCCTCAGGGTCCAAGCCAACTCACAAAGAGTGGGTCTGTCAGTGTTCTTGAAATTGTAGACAAGTTAAAAGACAAACTGGTAAATCTGGCTGGCACTAGTGCAGCCAGGCACGCACTGGGCGTGAGGTGACAGCAGGACTGGGTCAGGGAGAAGAAGCCCTGAGGAACAGCTGGGATGAGGTGTGGGCCACTGTCTTCAGAGTCTGGGACTTAGGAGGTGCTCACAAAGAGGCTGACTGAATTAAATGTCCATTGTCTTACTTTTCTGGTAGGTCTTGTAGCCAGATTAGGATACCTGAGAATAAAGTCTCAGCAGCGGTTAGAGTTGGGAAAGTGAGTTCTAAACCAAGGTTCAGCTTCTAGGTGACAAACAGGAAGGTACTAGCAATGCGAATGGCCATTCTTTCTCCTTACCAGGACTCACAGCCTTTTCCAGCTGAGCGAACGCTCCTACATACTCCCTGCCCTACAGTAACTGTCAACTGCAGGGATTCTTGCAGAACTTAAACAACCCTGGTGAACTCCACATGGGCCAGTCAGGAACCAATGCTTTGTAAGCAGCCCCTTCAGAATTAAGAGCAAAGGGAGCTCAGGCCCCTGGTCCACTGGCAGAGTCCAGGAATTCCTGGGGATGACACTGTCACCACTGTTGACACTAGGCGCCCATGACCTCATCAACACACTGTCAGGAAACTAAAACTTGGGACATTAAATTACTGGTCCAAGGTTACAGCACGATTTTAGCATTTATGTTTTTTTGTAAGTTCACTCAACCCCATCAGGGATTTCGGTATTCAAGAAAATCAAGCTAAAGCTCCTGCAAGAGTTCATTTTATTCATGACGTCATAAAAATGCAGTGGGGGGAGCTTCAACCCATACAATAGAAATGTCATCAAAATTACTCACTGTGGGTTACACTTTTCCCCTGACTTAGATATAAAAATGGTAGTGCACACCCCACGCAAGATGTGAATCCTGCACACCTCATCACATTACAAACTGAATCTCGGTCTCCGATATTTCCTTGAAAAATGTGCACTCTTACATTTCTGCCTCAGCCAAGACGCACAATCACTACAGAAAACCGCTTCTCTTGCAACCCTCGGTACAGGACCTTTATTTCCTCCAGTCCCTGCTTCGCTCTCCGGCCACTTCCCCGTATCTATCAGGAGACGCTTGACACAGGGCCCAGACGAACCCAAGCCTCCAACTCCTCTACCCATACGGCCGGGCTCATGAGGGCTGGGACCTGAAAAATCTCATGAGCTGGAATCACTAAAAGCTTTTATTTTAACTGGCTCATCAAGGTCAACTGGCACTTTGTCACTCATCCCTGGGCAGCTCCTCCTCTTACCACCCAGGATAATTTCACACCTCTGAGCACCTTCTAGTGATTCCACGGCACAGCTGTCCCCTCCACCTGCCAGGCCCAGGGCATCCTCGCCGCACTCCCTTCCCACCCTTCTCTGCTTCTACCTGCATCGAAATATCACTTTCTACCATGAGTAATGTACTTGCTGCTAATTTTTAGCAACAGTCTATTTGTTAAAAAATATATGTAAATTCTCACTCTATTATACATTTGGTCAGATTTTTCATTTAAAAGATAGGAACAGTATGCTGAGGTAGAAGAGAGGGTGAAAGTTGGCTACCAGTGTGCTGACAAGCCGTCAGCCCTAACTTCAGCCAGCACTCTTCCAGGCTC